CAACTATCCACCCAAGTTCAAATGAAGTGGATGTAGCAATTATAGACTGCTGTACGGCCTTCAGCAATAAGAAAAACTCATACCGTATAGTCAGCTTTAAAAGACCCCGATATGAAAAATATGAAACAATTCAATTGAGAAAACTAACGGCCTAGTTTATAACAAAACAATTTACGAAAAACAAATATGACAGACATGAACCAACAACAACCACTGAACTACAGGCTCCTGACTTTGAACAGGTACATAAAGAATGCATAATATTATGGCGGGGTTAAACATGTTTGTGAGCGCTCAACCTTCCCTTAATCATGGACAGTTGTTTTACAGTACAACATAAGAACAAACTATAAAAATCAGTTGAAAAAGGCTTAACTCATCAGATCGATACAAAGCTGAAAAACATCTATCAAAAACACAGACCGGACGTGACAGGGTATTTATACATTCCTAACAACAAACGACACAAATAAGAAGATCTGAGAGTACTCGCAGTTACTGATAGCTAGTTCAAAGCCAATTACAACTAATAAAAGAAATCATATATCTATGACTAATATATCAATCAGTACACATCCAACATCAAATGGATTTAGTATAAAGACGTCATTAAGAGTCTGAGAAAAACATGACCTTGTGCAATGCCAAAATATAGGTATCGACAAATTGTATTACCGTGAAAGTGCATATGTGTATAAAATAGTATTTAGTATGGTTTAATTTATTGATAACAAAATCAATATTTATACCAATAAAAACAATATTCAAAGATCTAATTGCAGTGTTGAATTGGTATCCATTTAGAATAAGTTTATTTAAAGGATTGATAAGTTTACTCGGGTCGTATTTAAATTTCAGGGCTCGGTAAACAACATAACCGTAAAATTTAGGATGTGCTATTCCGTCTGAAATAAGGTACAGCAAAATTTGCAAACTATATATTTGGATCTGTGGAAGAATGTAATAAAGATTTTAAGTCATTTGTGGTAACGACATCCCTGACTTAATAATTTACTAGTAATACATACATTACGCTCATTGAAATCCAAAACGTCATGTGTAGGTTTGTAGAATCTCTAAGGACGACAAAGACCAAAGGGGTAGAAGCAACTTCCCAAGTATTTATTTCTCAAATTCTGTGAAATGTTTACAACAATGCTCAATATTTATATGTCATGTATCTGATGCATGTTTTTGTAATTAAATCAAAATTATAGGGGACTATATAGGAATCGAAACTTTTCCAATTTGAGTAGTTTACTCTTTATGTTTATGATACTGGTACAGGGTAATGTTCCTCGTACTTTTAAACCATGGAAACAGGATATTTTTCTTTAAAACTGGCTATCATTTATGTTATATTTGAGTCATTAAATGTTATCGAAATCAACTGTGTAAAGTACTATTTTATAAATATATTAAGAGTCATTTAATTTAATTGTTTCACTACATTTCATTAATTTTTGTTGATCGAAAAAGCTCAGATTACAAAATGATGCATTAAGGATGAAATTCCCCTGTATTTCAAGCAAAATAATCCATTTTGTTAAACTAATCCTCGATATCCATGGAGACATTCTGCCATTTTGTAATCAGAATGCCATTAAGTTTACTTGTCGCTATCTCGTAGAAATTCAAAAGGAACGATATCTAAAACAGGAAAAAACTTTTAAATTGTTTCGTAATGAAAGTCGAAATGTGAAAGCTGAAGTCTTTTAATTTGTTTTTGATGTGGTGTCTCTAATATAAGGATTATAAAAAGCATTTCAATCAATGATAATAAGACAGTTTAGAGTTTGTTTCCCCTAGGTTGGTTTCATAAAAGTCTTGAATAGCATAAAAATATGTTTGTTTTCATATACCTTATATTTCACAAACGAAGTCAAAATAAAATATAAGCGTTGCAAAACAATTAAATTCGGAAGTTCATTAAATATATATCCATTTCTTCACAGAAAGATGAAAATGTCTTCCATAAAAGATTGTTTAATTTGCTGCACATGTCTCATGTGGCTAAATTAGATGCAATAGTTTACCGATATTCAATTATCATAAGTAAATCGATTCATACTTATACACAAATCAAGCATAAAACTAAAACCTGAGGAATCGCATAGACTCCAAACGGAGCGAGACCAGATGCATCGACAGGGTAAGCGTCTCCTGCCAGGCATGTATCATCCGAGATACGAAAACGAGGCTTAGTCAAAATGTCACAATAAGAAATAGGACACAGTTACTGAAAGGGTCATTTGAGCTGAGCAGATCTTAAAAAAATGAACAATAAGGTTATAAGTCATGTTCAGTCTATCAGTTAATTTTCAGACTTATCCACGGTGGTCAAGTCAGTACTGTTAAACAATCGCTTCGCTTATAGTCAATTAGATCTGCACACCAAATTATAAACCTGGTATCTTTGAGAAGTTATTTCAGTCTATGTTCGGGCTGTCCCGTAGCTGTTATTTACCGTACAAAGCAAAAACATACTGAATTGTCTGAAAAGGTAATGAACAGTACTGAACTGACGGTAACCAAAGTGTTTGAACAGTACTGAATTTACTACAAATATTATATATCTGCACATTAACTGAAACTCTTAACAAGATATAAAGTTTTTAATTTCAGACTTTCCAGATGCTGTTTAGATCAAAATGTCTGTTTAAGACTAAAATTCATTACTAGTGTGGTAATTGTAATATTGTCCAACCTGGCAAAAGAAAGAAGTAAACATTATGTAGTTTAATCTCTCCCTCAAATAATATTGGCTTTTATTGTAATATACTTTATATGGGATATATTTTTCAAATTTGTTAAAATAAGCTTTATCGTGTTACTTGGAGTCTGGTGGATAGTTGTCTCATTTGCAATCATAACACATCTCCTTTTTTCACATATCACCGTTTCTTAGTTGAATTTTTCAAACAATCTGAAAACCTTTTAATGGAAAGTCAAAATTACGTTGCCATACTATTAATAATGTAACGTGATAGACGACTGTGATTTAGGATTATTGTAAACAATCATTTCTACTGGTGTATAGTGGGTAACATGAGAATCTAAGTCTTATTAAACTGGTCACTATAAGGCAATTGGATAGCGATTTATAATGGAGACAGGCTATAAAAAAAGCATTTAAGTGACGTCGATCAGACATCGTAGATCAGTTAATAACGATGATTATAAACAAGTCGCCATTACATGATCTCAAAAAAACATCTTCTAATTCAATTCTGTGTTTATTTGTACGTAAACGCGTAATTTTGTACGTCCTTTTAGACATTAATAGTATGTTTTCACCCCAGTGGCTTAAAAAAAATAGTAGCTATATTCAGCAAGAATAGTTTTATGTCATGTTTAATGGTAAATGAAGCTGTGAAACACAGGAATGAGTCATCTGAATCAAATGGTTTTGAATGAAAGTGTGAAATGTATCTCTTCTTTCAAATGCAACTATCCTTACCTTTAATAGCTACATTATTTCTGTCGGAAATTCTGATTATTTTTATTGACCTTTTTAATCATATAGCTTTTCATTTGTGAATTCTAGTTTAGCCTTTAAAGAATTTGTAGGGAAGCACACTTGCAGCTCTTACTCAGAAAAATCTTATAGGTTTTACATTCATAAAATATCTGGACCAACATTATATATTTTTAATGATATCTAAACGTCAATAGAATTTCACAATATGTCATAACGATGTTATTATAAAGTTATTTTATAAACATCAAATTTAGGTTATAATGTGATTAATTATGCTTATATATTGTTAACTATTAACAATTCATCCACGCTTTTTCCAGAAGGATTAACCCCAAGGGTTGACTAGGGTATAGAAATATGGTAATCCCTGAACTTCTCCCCTCTGGCAGAAAGCTGAAGGAAGGTGTCCATTAGGCTGTGCGTGATGTATACATTAACAGCCTCGTCCAACCGGGATTGGAACTTTGAATTCGATGCCTCATGTACTGAAAGTGAGTGCCACGCTTTCTGCACGTCAAATAACTCCTGCAGCAACTCTTCGAGGGATCTCTAGGTGGCCTGTTGCAAGGCAAAATGTATCCCCCCCCCCCTTTTTTTAATTTTCAATATGATCTGAAGTGTAGATTTCTTTTATGGCGGAAGATATTAATCTGAATTGATATCAAACCAGTTTAATAATACGATACTAGAAAAGTTAGGTTACTTCACTTGTCAGGCTCGACAAAGAGCTAAACAATCAAGGCCGTAGTTGCACAGGTAGATGTTTTTGTGATATCCGGTAATCAGTCGCGGGGAGTGAAAGAATGTTTTAAATACATACATTTCAACTAATATAAAAATATGAAGATGTGGTCTGATTGCCAGTGAGACAACTCTTCTCAAGAGACCAAATTACATTGTACAGTAAAAGAAATAGAACATTAATATAATGGAAGATGCAGACAGCTCTCTCACAAACAAACAATCCTAACTGTAAAATATAAGGGCATACACTACACAAGACTTATAAACACAATATACATAGTTATTTCTCAAGGCAGTCATTTTAGTTAATTTCCTCGTAATAACAACAGTATTAATAAAATTTCACCATAGAGAAAATAAATATTTGCAGAATTCTTCTACTTTCGAAACAAATTTCAAGCTAATTGAGTTGTATTTAATTCCTCAGATTTTGAGAAAGAATGTGAATTCCTTATTATTATTTTAAAAAAAACTACTTCCTCGAGTTTTTGTCAGGAGTTTTTCTTTATCGTTCTGTGTTTTTTTTTGTTTTTTTTTATGTAGTATTTATTGTTTTGTGCAATATGTACATTGATCGACGTAAATTCAGTCAACCGTAAACATAGTCCTTTGACTAAAATATTCACAATTGCTTACCTTTAAATAAAACCAACCAACAATACATCTGCACACAAATTATTAAATTAATGTTTTTAATTACTAGCATTACATAATATTGCGATTCTCATCATACCATGGTCTATACCATTTATGTATTACAATCAAATACATAATTTATATTCAGTTTGTATCCCAGATGGATCTTTATTTATTCAATCAATTACAACAAGCTACAAAACGTTAGATAAATTGTGCTCATAATCTGTTAGTTATGAATAACATTTTACTCTAGCTTGAAAAAGACAGTTCTATATGTGTTCTATATCAGTTAGCTTAGCTTTCAACATGGCTTAGCATCACTATTGCACATACAAAGTTAATCTTGCCTCTTTAAACACGGATGAACAACTACCTGTTTCGTGGAGGTAAGGAATATTTGATTTACTTAACAGTTCAAATCGCTTACAATATGACACATTGCGAATTTGTGAAAATATCATTTTTCTATATGTTTTATTTGTTTGTTGAAATACAACATCATGTGATATTTATTGTCTGAGTTTTAACCGAGATATCAGTTTTAGCTTCGAGGTCCTATTATCATTTCTTGATTCGTACAAATCAAGTTCAAACAGTGTTAACCAATTGTATTCCGCCATACTATGTACCCGGTGGCTATGTAATAAAATGGATGGTAAAAAGGTAATCATACAGCTGGCTGAGTTTGTCATATTATATGTGTAAAGAAAACGCATTCCCCTCTGGTTTGTTTAGTGGTATATTGTAGCATGCTGACATGTTTATTTCGAACTAGTTCCATGATATATATATATATATATATATATATATATATATTTTCTAAAATATGTTATAGCTTTAAGTGCGTTAGTTATGATATAACATTAACAAAATTAATCCTTTTAATGCATTCGTGTACTTTTAAACCATAACGTTTAACCTGTATGGAAGAACAATGCACCTGGTTACATAGACATTTATATATGTGAATGAATGTGTATATTTTAGTCATAGACACATGATTTTTTATTAGTTGTTATTGGTCTTGAACTAGCTTTCAGTAACTGCGAGTACTCTCAGATCTGTACTTTTGTCATTTGAGTTTTTGTTAGGGTTTTCTATGTACTTTGTGTCGATCTAATCGAGCAAACATCTTAAAACCCGCCACATTCTGTATGTACTTTTCCTTAGTCAGGAGCATGTGATTCAGTGGTTGTCGTTTGCTGCTGTATATGTCTGCTAGTTTTCCCGTTTGAATTGTTTTAAATTTGTCATTACGGGGTCTTTTATACTTTACGGTTAAGGTTTTGCATAGATTACCTTCTTATTTTTATATGAATATGACCCCTGAACGTTAAAAAAATATAAATAGTTACACATATGTAACAACCAGAAGTTGAAATATCTAATGACTAGTATGGAAGAAACGCAGGATGCATAATTTCTAAAACCGACATGATTATGTTCCATCTGACAAGACACCCAACAATTTTTTTTCATATAGAAGGGATCAGTCCCAAACTCTTTTAAATCCTCTAGACCTGTCAGGAGAACTGTAACAGTTCTCCTGACAGTTCCTGGAACAGTTTCGTACAGAAGCGGGTCTATCCTAGAAAAGCTTTTGGACAGTTTTATCCTAGAACAGTTTCTGACATTTCTACCCTACAACAGTCTTGGACAATTCTACTCTAGAACAGTTTGAGCTGCTCTACCCAAGAACTGATTATGTCAATTCTACACTCGAACAGTTCTAAGGTAGAACAGTTCAAGGTTAGAATTGTATTGACTGAAATCAACACTGCATAAGTCTTACGCCCACCATTTCGAATAGGTTGAGGGGCCTCGGTGGCCCAGTGGTCTTAGTAGTTACTACTGTAATCACTAGCCAGTCAACACTGAGGTTGTGAGTTCGAACCCCGCTCGTGCAGGTGCACTCGACTCCAATTTTAATTGACAAGGGTTGTCAGTTTTCCTATCGAAGGTCGGTGGTTTTCTCCGGGCACCCCGGCTTCCTCCACCAATAAAAACTGGCCGCCACGAAATAGCCCAAAAGCGGTGCTTAAAAGTGGCGTTAAAACACTTAAAATCAAATCAATCGAATAGGTTGACTGATACAAACTGTCTGAGTCTTAACTCACTGGTAACGTGTTTTCGCAGTCTTAGATCTTAAGACACTAGAATAGTCGTCTAATCTGTAATTGACAGAGTGTGTCCTATGCCCGACTGTGCCATAATACCCTATTAATTCCTTCCTTTTAGAGTACATGCAATCTCTCAATTTTTGTTTGTTACCTTAATTTGTCTCTTCAATTGATTTTTTTTAAATTTTGAACATGGATAAACTGCTCTTGCCTTAATCTAAAATTGAATATATCAGTTATATGACAGATTATTGTAACATTTCTGAAGAGAGTAGAACTGATCCAAACTGTATGTTTACTGTATCATTATTGAATTGGATATTGACAGTTCGAATGAAAGAATACATCTTACGAATATACAAATACTTCATGAAACCAATTATCGGCCCATAAAGGGCATGTCACATATAATGACTACAAAATAAAAACAATATTGATAATGCTTATGATAATATGGATTTAACTATAGCAGTTGTTTTCTTATTGTATTACATTTATAACAAATTAAAGCCACAGTGTTGCATATTTCTTCATGTTCACAAGAGTGAAACAAAATAAATCTGGTTTTTGTATTTAGATTTTTGAAATTATTACATATTTTTATGAAACAAAATAAATCTGGTTTTTCTATTTAGATTTTTGAAATTATTACATATTTTTAAAGAAGAATCTATTAACATTACTTGTCGTTGTTGTTCGAGTGCTGGACATTCAATCAGAAAATGAATTTTATCTTCAATTGACTTTAAAGAACACAATTTACAACTTCTTTTATCTTCGTAAATTTTTCTATAACGACCCTGTTTATTTATGAGCACTAATTCTCATTAGAAATTATGAGGAGCTTTTCATTGTTACAACACGTTTTTGTTTTTGTTAGGTCTACTATCAGTGGTTATAAGGTCTACTCAAGTTGAAATGTATAAATTAAATTTTAAAATGACAATTGCCAGACATTTAGAGAACATTGCTTATTTATATATTGGCATGATTATCATGGCATACCAGCAGCTAGAGACAATGAAATACAAAGGATACAGTTGTTTGATGTATTTCTATAAAGACAATGAAGAATTATATATCATAATTTAGTATCTTTCCTTCTGACAACGGAAGTTAACGTCGAAGTTGTAATAAAACATTTATCAAGCTTAGGAACTTTTAAAATATAGCTGTAAGCATGAACAAGGGATCTGTATTTTAACCAGAGTAGGTGTCTTTATCTTTAAAAGCGAAATGAAACAATACATTAAAGGGACAGAGTGTTTTAAAAGGGGTTTTATCTAGATAGTCTCTCGGTGCCTGCAATGACTAATGTGATCACATCATACAGCAAGAACAAGACTGTTCAAAGCGTCAACTTTAGCTATAAACTGATATTCAATTTTACTTAGAACTTAGTCAGAACACTGACATTCATCAATACCAACTTAATCTCTGCACTGATATTCGTTATAATAAATATCAACTATAAGTGTGCATATGCATTGTTATATTGAGACAAGTTTGGTGCAGTGACAGTAGAAGTTGTATAGGCTTCAAAATGAATTGATCGATCTTCACGAAATGAGTGTGCTCATATAAAATCTGTCTTATTCTGGCTAGGATATCGTTATTAGTATCTGACATTTTTCAAATACGTTTCTTATCGAACCTGATGAATTATATTCCCACATTTCAGAAAAGTTCCAAGCTAGTATTGTTGCTTGCTAGCAAAAGTAATCAGCAAATTTGTCTTATTGTGTTCTCTGGTTTTTTTAGTTGGCAAATTATATTAACAATGTACCTACTCGTTTCGGTACTTGTTTAGTCTTTTTTCAAAACAGATCAAAAAGTTTTATCTACATTTCGGATATCCATAGGTTATACAGAGCTTACACCCCAATTTCTACATACGTCGTCTGAAATTTAGCCCAGCAATGTTAGACGTACTGGTTCTTCCCTCAGCGGAAGTATTTTATGTATGTGTTGTCTTATTGGCGTATATCCACCATTTCTAATACTTTTGTATTCGGTAATTGGAATCGTGTACTTGTTTCAGCTTTTATGGTGCATATTCCTCCAGAGTTTTGCTTAAAATAAGAATTGAAATTAAATTTACGTGGAAATAAGGTTTATTGACAACAATAAAAAGTCGGAATAATAATATTGTCATTAAACGATTACACATTTTGAAATGCATCTAAAGGACCTAATGATTATTTAAGCGATAAGGATAGAGCTTCTACCTTGCAAAAAAAGAATTTAACTAATTTATCCCCTGCACGGATTTCACTGTTGCAGAATTGTTTGGTTGGTTTCTAAATGTATTACATACTCGTATAGAAATATTTGAAATAGAACAGAAAGTTGATCCTAAACACTTTAAACTCATTTACAGTTATTTACAGGTAGGTGAAAGGTATCGTACCAACGCATGCCTTTCAGAAGGCAAAAGTGCAATCTTTTTAAAGTGACCAGTGATTCAGCAGTTAATAATATGATCCGAAAAACCTCTAGATTTAAGATACATATTTACATATGAGGGCAGTAGCTCGATATGGTATATCTTACTTACACCATAATATTATGGTAAATGTACATGGCTATCCCATATACAGCTTTCAATAATTTAGAAAAGAGGATCTTTCGGGAATTTGATCTTATTTTAGGATAAAACATGATGAATGTAGATTCCAATTACATTAACATAATATACGATTACCAGTCACTTTATTTTAGAAATTTTGAAAACAAAAGTATTACATACTATCCCATGAGGACATTAGCTCGATATGGTATATCTAACTTACAACTTAATATTATGGTTAATTAAAAAAATGATATATAGCTTTCAATGATTTAGAAAGCGCATATTTCAGGATTTTGACCTTTAGTCATTTTAGGATGATGAATGCAGATTCCGATTATATTGAATACGGTTACCAACCAGTCACTTTACTTCAGAAATTTTGAAGAAAAATAATATTATTTCAATTAGGTAACAGTGTATTCCCACTTAATATTTACCGTTTGTAAGAAAAGAAATACTGTATACGATGATGTTGTCTTTGAAATGAAATATTGAAAACATATGGACCATAAACTTCCACAAAAATAAACACCAGACGTATCCTGTAAAAACAAAAACAAGCCGAAATTTCTTTAAATTTTTATTGTTTGTATAACGATCAGTTTTGTTTGTATCACACTAATTTTAAGAAGCATTGTCTTTGACAACAAACACTGATAATTTTACATTGACTTAACTTCTTTTAACATTTGTT